TTGTGTTGTAGAGTAGACAATTCTTCTTCCATTGCTTGCCGCCACCCTAAGGTAAGGGCTTCCTGGATAGTTTTGGAAATGGAAACAGATGATAGCAATGATATAAAGTTTCGATGGGAAGCAGAAAGGTGAGCAGCTGAAACATAGTGTGAAATAGGATGAGAAGTACAAGTACGTTTACCTTTCCATAGTTCAATAGGAAGATCAAGGTCCAAGGGAGAAGGTGCAACCACAGGATCTTCCAACGAGGACTGAATTGGAGGAGGGGCCGGTGCTCTTCTGTGAGAATACACTTGTCTAATTGGTGGTCTCTCATTAGTAACTGGCACAGGAGGGGGATTCGCAATTGGAATAGGAACCACGGGAAGAGGATCCTCAACAGGGACAGGAAGTGGAACTACGGGGGAAGGAGAAGGAACCACAGTGTCCGAGAAAAATGAGACCAATTCAAAGAAAGTGACATCAGAACACACAAATGACTTATGAGAGTTAGGGTTATAGCACTTGTACCCTTTTTGAGTCCTGGAGTATCCAAGGAAGATGCATTTAGTAGCTCGTGCATCTAACTTGTCTAAACTAGGCCCCAAATTTTGAACAAAACAAACACACCCAAAGACTCTCGATGTGAGAGGAAACAGAGCCAAAGTGGGAAACAAAACTGAGAAGGGGGATTGACTTCCAAGGATGGACATGGGCATCCGATTGATGAAAAAGCATGATGTGAGGACAGCATCACTCCAAAAACGCTTTGGGACATTCATATTAAGCATCATAGACCGAGCAGTTCCAAGGAGATGTCGATTTTTTCCGTTCAGCTACACTGTTCTGTTGTGGGGTGTAGGAACAAGAAGTTTGATGAATTATCCCATGGTGTTCTAAGTATTGCTGAAATGGTGTTGAGTTGTACTCTTTTGCATTATCATAACAAAGAATTTTAATATGAACACCAAATTGGGTACGTATTTCAGCATAAAAATTTTGAAAAATAGAGAATAATTCACTGCAATCTTTCATAAGATAGAGTCATGTCATCCTTGAAAAGTCATCAACAAAAATTACAAAATACTTATAACCATTGTATGGCATTACTTTAATTGGACCCAAAACATCATAATGAACTAAAGAAAAATGACTCAAGGCACGACTATCAACTCTCGGACTAAAAGAAACTCTATGATGTTTCCCAAGCTGACACAACTCACAATCCAACGATGAAAGATGACTTAAGGAAGGAACCAGCAACTTTAAAGCCTTGAGGGAAGGATGACCAAGTCTACAGTGCCATTGAAGAGGAGTAAGAGACGATTGAAATGCTATTGGCGAGCCACCACCATCAAGGTAATACAATCCACCTGCCTCATGCCCTCCACCAATCTTCATCCCTGTCTTGAGATCCTGAAACACACAAGAAGAGATAAAAGGTTTGAGATGTGGAGGACGGAGAAAGTGAAGAAAATACATTTGGAATCCCAAACATATGATCCGAGGCTCCAAAGTCAATTATCCAGTGTGAAGGCTTGGAAGCCAAGCAAACCATACCTGAATGGGCAAGGGTAGTTGTGTTCTGCTGAGAAGATGTCTGAAGGAACTGCTCATATACCGCACGTGGTACATTCACCATCTCCTTCCCAGAAGCACCAGTAGATGTAGAGGGGGTCTGATCAGTTTGTTGATTTTCACTAGTTGTACCACTGCCCCTAGTCACAACAAGGTTAGCCCAAGTGTTGGGTGGACCATGTAAATCATAGCAAAAATTAACAGTGTGCCCCTCTAATCCACAGTATGTACACTTTCCTAGGAGCATTACTTCTTCCTTTACCACAACCTCCACTCCAGCCACCAACACGGTTAAACATGGGACCACCTAGGTTACCTGGAAGTCCACGGCCACCACCTCCACCACCTCTATTTCCATGGCCTCCCCCTCTAGTCACCACCAAACCAGATCTGTCTGAGAGAGAAGAATACTCTGTAGACTCAATAGATGTCCTCCTAAGACGGGCAAACACTTCTTCAAGTGAGGGAAGAGCAAACCCCCTCAGTATTTGTGCTCAAACAGGTTCATATTCAGCCTTCAAACCCACCAGAAACCTTGTCACATCAAGTTGTTCTCGTTGTTGTTGCTGAACATGAGCATCCAGTGTCAGAGGATGATATACATTATGCTCATTTTGGATATTTCTCAGACTTACATAGTATTCCTCCAAGCTTTGATTGTCTTGCTTCAGATTAAAGTACTCTTGGTACAACTGATACACCCTAGTTGTATTGTCTTATCCGGAATACAGTTTCTTAGCAATGGTCCCAGATTTCTTTAGTTGTATCTAGGAACATAAAGTTCACACTGATTTTAGGTCCCATGCTATTCCACAACCAGGTCATAATTTGAGCACCCTCTTGCTCCCAATCACTGAACCCTAGAGAGTCAGAGGAAGCTTTTTCCTCTCTCACATGCTTTACCTTCTTCTTGGCCTTTAAGAACACCTCCACTGACTTGGCCCACGGCACATAGTTCTCACCATTCAACTTAATAGATGACATTTGAACATTTAAATAATCTAGAGAGATCATAATACCAGTTTTGTTGTCACTACCATCTCCGGCTGACATCATTTTCAACCAAATCTCCTCACTTCACAAAGGAATCACTGTTATAGACAAGGTTTTTACCTTCAACTATTCAGAATCAAACCACACACAACTTAGCACAGTATAAACACTACCACACTACTGCTGTCGTGAACTTCAGCAACTGAAAACCCTACTTTCAACGACATACCCAGGCATAAACAGAGGAAAAAGGGACTGATATGCATACTAATCACTTCACACCACCACAGAAATATATTATAGACCAAAACACAGCATTCGCAGTCCACTATTTGGGCGGAAAAAAAAACTGTTCATACCTGTCCACAAACAGCCCTCTTTGTATCACAGAATAGAGGGCATCTACTACACCACTTCAACGACCACCACCACAGCAACTGGAGGCATACTTACCTCCAAAAACAGAAAACAACCACTCCTTTTTGGCCTCTTGTCGAGCTTCCAATCAGGCTAGGAGAAAATCGATGAAATCTGATATAGCTGGCGGCGAACTCAGGAAGAAGAAAGGGTGATGAGGAAAGAAGAAAAAGAAGAAAAGTAAACTGGGTTTTATTGCTCTGATACCATGTGAATAACCCTATTCAGTTCTAGGTTAAAGTAGATAAGAAGAGGAAGAAGAAGAAGAGAAGAAGAAGAAGGGTTCGGCCAGTTGAGGAAAAGTTAACCCTCACTAGTCGACCCACTTGTATTTATATCAAATAAACTCAGTTACAAGAAAGACAATATTGTCCCTTATAAGTGATGGGACACAACTTAAACTTGAACAAAACAGACCTTTCACTCTAAAATAGATAAGCCTAAAAGACCAAAATATCCCTGTTCTGTGAACTCTAACACAGTTCAACATTATAGTAGTTCTATGATTTATGTTGGTAAGTATCAGTTTTTGGAGTCATTGATAACAGCTAAGTTGGCTGAACTGAATTGCATACAGTTTTTCTTTTAGTGAATAAGCAATTAAGTAGCATACCAGTTCCCTAATTGGTGAATGATATGTTGGAGTGACTAGGTTATGCCTAACCATGTGACCATATGACTAATTTATCCACTAAAAGACAAACCAATAAGTAATTGAGTTCAGCCACATTTCTTTTTATCAATAACTGCAAACTTTCATTAATGTTAAAAAGTTAGAGTTGTACAATAATGAGAAAATGTAGAGTCACATAGCACCTTAGAAGATGCTTCCTTATTAGAAATCCAAGTCAAATAAGCCATAGGTCAAATAGTCATTTTTCAAAAGGTTTTCTAGCAGATTTAGTAAGCTTTGAAGCATTCTAACTATGGGTATAAGTTGGAGAGTGATTATAAGTCCTACATTAGGGAAGTAAGTCTACAAAAAAGTCCACGATGAAGAGTTTACAATCTTTCCCAGAACAATTGCTGTCTATTGACTCCCTGTTTTGCTAGTGCATTCACCATCCCATTAGCAGTTCTTCTAACCCAGTTAAAAGAGACATTCAACTCCCTTGCTAAGTATTCTATCTCCCTGAAGGCATACCTGTAGATCCAAGGTGCTGGGTTACTTGCCACCCAAGATATAATCAGTTTTGAATCCCCTTTCACTTCCACTTGTTGCAGTCCAAGCTGTTTTGTCAATCTTAATTCATTTCTCCTTGCAGTAGTGCCAAAGATTCTGCTCTAATCAAATCTCCAAACCCAACTAGTCCAAGATATTGCTTTCAAATGCAATGATGAGATTTTTTGGCAAAATTATGTACTTTCATTTCTTTTCTTTGTTTAAGAGGAAAGGAAGTCTATAAAAGTTCCATAAATTGCTTTCAAGTAGAATGACGAGATTTTTTTGGAAAAAAAATAAAATAAAATTATGCACTTTCATTTCTTTTCTTTGTTTAAGAGGAAAGGAAGTCTATAAAAGTTCCATAAATTGCTTTCAAGTAGAATGACGAGATTTTTTTGGAAAAAAAATAAAATAAAATTATGCACTTTCATTTCTTTTCTTTGGTTAAGATGCTCAAGAATATTTCTTCAATGATTCAAAGAGGACCTTGTTTAAATTTGGTGTGGTTCCACATTGATTCAGGAAGAAAGGTTTAACTCCTCAAATTATATTTGTTCTGTTACTACTTTTTTTGGAGCAATTTGAGTAGTGTACTGCTTGTATACAGTGTTTTCTCTCTATATTTTTTGGTAAAATTCTCTCTCTTAAATCATTTTGATTTTACTTTGACAGAAATAAATATCACATGTCAGGATCCATGAGAAGGGATTTCAATATCCAGGTGTAAATCAAAACTGTGCACCCATACTACAGCCAACAAATTCTAGATGAAATGAATAATAGACAACTGCAAGTTTTGCTCAATCATAAAAATATTTGGCACATTGCCCAAAAAGGTAAATCACAAAAATTTTCATCTTAAAAGTACCTCAGAGAGTGCCTTACGGATTCCTAAGCTCTGCTCATCTAAAAGCAACTTGACAGCCTCAACAAGTAAAGGCCTTTTAGCATGCCAAGCTTCAGACAACCTCAAGAGGGAGAAAAAATAAGTTAATCCCTGTAAGACAATTGCAACTGGAAGATCCAAATTATGAAACGGAAAGAAACCTGGGCAAGAGATGCTTTAAGACACAAAGTGCCCCATATGTATAAGGTTCTTCCTTTAACCTGCATTTCTGGTTACAGTAGAACATATAAATTCAGGTAAGTGGAGGAAACAAAAACACTAATTTCCTTATAAACTAACACAGAGAAAGAGAGAACAAGAAAAAGAAAAGGAAAAAAGTAAGAAGAAAAAACAAAAACAATTACATTTGGCAGGTAATGCATTCCCAAAAGGTATACCACCTGAAATTGGTACTCACATTCAGAAGAAACATAAAGAGATCCTCAGAATATACCAAACCAACAGTCAGAAAGCAGTGCTGAACTTCATTATATGTCTGCATCCATCCACATACACAACAATATAAATATGAAATTATTACAGATAGTGTAGCATAAAATAACTCTGGCAACACATAAAAGAATCAGATTCATTAGGTATAAGAGAATGAAGCCTTCTCTTCCAATCTTATATGGAGTATATAATTCATACTTTTTATCAGTATACAAAAATATCCAGTAACGAGAGAAAAAGAGGTGCAAAGTCAAGTAGCTCCTAAGAGTAGTCTAGAACATGGTGTTCTCTGGATGATGATGCACTGCACTGGAACCCAGATGGCCAGATGTAATATTTCACTAGGGCATTCTTTGTAAACAATTCATGGCAAAGAAACACAGTTTCACTGATAAGTGAGCTATGGTTTCTGCACACCCTAATGAACTATATCAGGAAGATAAAAAAATACATTTAACAAAATAAAATCTTGGAACTATAACTAGTAAAAACATGAAACTAGTAGATACAATAAAAATAAAAAATAAAAAACATTAATTAATATAGAACGTTTACAAGAGACAAAATGGAAATGAAAAAGGCTGGTTTACTTACATCAACCTCATCAATCTCATCCATCATTGGTTCATCTTCATCGGCCTCCCGATCTCCTTCTCTACTTTCTTCTAAGGGGAAAGTTCTGTACTTCTTCCCTTTGTATGTTCTAACTCCATCTCCTGTCTTACTTCCTTCCTCCTCTCTTCCCCCTCCCTCAGTCCCCAGATCTTCCTCCCCTCCTTTCTCCTCTCTTAGAACTTCATTCATTTCTCATTCTACCTTCCGCACTGACTCTTCCACATCTCCCATTTCCTTTGCCCCGATCACCCCAATCACCTCATCCTCTTGACTTCTTTTCCCCTCTTCTTCAGCTCTATTTTCAACCCTAATCAGTAAAACCTCAGTCGCCTCTCTACTAATCTCTTCTTCTACTACCACCATTTTTTCTCCCCAATCATCTCCTTCAATCCTTTCCAAATCTTCTCCCTCACCGTTAGTAATGTCCAATACATCTTCCCGCCCTTCCCTATTTTTTGTTGTATATGATTGACTTCACAATTAGCTGAGTCCCCCTCTTATCTTCAGCACTCCTTTTCTCGCCCCTGTCATCTTCCTGTATCGCCATTGAAGCTTTCTTTATGGGGAAGAAAACTGTCGTTCTCCAAACAAAACCTTTGGCATCACATGTGTCCTCTTCTGTGACCACCTTCTCTGTTGAATCCTCTTCAACCTCTAGGACCCCAGATCTATCTACAGGGCTTCTAGTTTCTCCCAATGTTTCTTTTCTCGGCTGAAGAGTTTTACATTCTTCTAACTGCACAACCCCATAAGCCTCTAGGGCCGACTCACCTTCATAATTGGGCCTAGATTTCAACTAATTTCTGAAGGATTTAAAACTCCTGATCCCTTTATTAGAATCCTGTTTAACATTCAAACATTTCCGGCCCTGGAATTTGCCCTCTATTATGCCCATGTGCTCCCCAAGTGGATCACGTGTAGAACCACTAATAACCGAGTTGTATAGGCTTTTCTTTCTCTTGATACACTTGTTCGTCTTCCTCTTCTCCCTTTCCAATCTCCCTATTCTCAATATCATTGTTACGATTCAATCTCGCATTTTTAAAACCCAACATCTCTTTGCTCTCTCCCTTCTCCCCGATGGCTTCCAATCTGCTTGTGCCATGTCGGCTCCACCAAACCCTACCTGCAGCTTCAACTTCTCATCTCCCATACCACAGAGACGCTTCAGCTTCCAATGCCACCCAGAGCTTCCACCATCTCCCTCCAGCAAAGAAGTCGATTGTGCGAGAAACCACGAATGGAATATAAGAAACCACCTCTCATCTAAGGGCACAACCCATAAGGTATTTTGATGACTTGGGTATTGAGTGGCATATCTTTTTTTCCTAATAGATGTTAAAGGAATGGAATATGAGAAACCAACAAGGCACAACCCTGTAGATTGGAGCTTTGGATAGGCAAATCTTCTAATGGCAAGTTTTAATACAACCATGGATCCATTTGCACTACTTCTCTCCAAATCCAAAAATCTTCAACACCTCCAACAAGAACTCCCAAACCACCAGGTCATAAGCTTTCTCCAAATCAAGCTTACAGACTAGCCCCTTTTTTTCCATTTCTTTTCAACTCCTCCACACTCTCATTAGCAATCAAAGTTTGGTCAATAATCTGCCTATCTTTAACAACTTGGTTTGGGGCAATTATAGAGGGAAGCACACATCTAATCCTTCGAGAAAGCACCTTCGCAATGATCTTATATAGGTTATTAATCAAACTTATGTGCCTAAACTCCCTTGGATGGTTTGCACCCAATTTTTTAGGGACCAAAGCAATGAAAGAAAAGTTCAACCCTAGGTTTATAATCCCCTTATCAAGAAACTCATTTAAAACTTTTTGGAGATCATCTTTCAAAGTGTCCCAGCAATCTTGATAAAAGGCCATTGTAAACCTATCCGAATCTAGTGCTTTTGCTCTATCCATTGAGAAAACCACTTCCCTTATTTCCTCTAACTCAAACTTCCTTTCCAACCAACCCTTATGAACTTCGGATAACTGTGGCCAATCCAGTCCATCTATCCTTAACCTCTCATTTAGGGTCTTCTAAAAAGGGACTTAAAGTGTGCCACAAAAGCTCCAGCAATTCTACTTTGATGAGTTACTGTTACACCTTCCAAATCCAATTTTGAGATAAATTTTTTCTCCTCCTGTCATTTGCTAAGGCATGGAAAAATTTAGTGTTCCTATCCCCTTCCTTTTTTTATCAATAACTGAAATTCATCAATAATCAAGAAAAAGGAGGATACAAAAGAAGGAGAGAAACTCCTAATTCCCCCAGACGGAGGCCATAAAATGAATTACAATATAGCCCAAAATTAGTTTTTCTTCCCACCCCTTGTTTAGCTAAAGCATCAGCTATGGAGTTGGCATCCCTCTTAACCCAATTCAGCTTGACATCCATTCCTTGTGTCAAGTATCTGTTATCTAAATTTCCTTTTCTCATTCATGTAAGCCCACCACCCCTTCTCCTCCTCTTTTCAAAGCCTGTCAATAACCAGCTTAGAGTCCCCTTCAATTAATACCTTAGTAAGGTTAAGCTGTTTGGCTCTCTTGGCTCCTTCCACCACAGCAAGGATTCCCGCTCTTAGTGAAATCCCAACACCACTGGGAGCAAAGAAAAGAGCCACAATTTTGCCATCTTCACCCCTAAAAACACCTCCAGTACCTGAAGGTCCGGGATTTATTTCACTGCTACCATCAAAATTCAGCTTGGTGAACCCATTAGTAGGTGGAGGCCAAGTAGGCACAACTAACTCTTTCAATGGATCAAAATCAGCCACTTCTCTCTACTTTTTTGCCCCTAAACCTGTTTGCTCTGCAAAACCTTCGATTTGGTTCTCATCACCATCACCCTTGTGTCTTTCTTCACCTATCCCTCTGTTGAGTTGTTCGGTTTGGGGCCATCTTTTACTTCATGTTTGTCTTTCTTACTGGGCCTAAATGGGCCTTATTGTTTTGTCTTTATATTTTACATTTTTAAGTTGTCACATGGATGGTCATATGACCCCTGTAGTTACTGCCATCCTATGAGAGCTTTGATGTAATTTTTCCACTTAATTGTTTCTGAAATATAGAAGTGAGGAATCTAACAATCCCGATAATCTATTTTTCTCCCTAACACCTACATTCTTCTCCCCTTCTCTTCTCTTCTACTTTGCATACCTGTTACATAGTGTTTTCTTTGTTTTGCATTGCTGAATCAAACAAGTTGGTATCAGAGCACTTGTACTCTTTTTTTATCTCTTATAATCCCATACACACTCAGATCAACAGTATCTATGGAGTAGCGAGGTGTTGATCATCATCTAACATTGCAACCTAGTTGGTAAAGGTTTTTAGACTTTTGAATGCTGTTTGGGAGCCAAGATGTGGATCTAAATGTTGCTGTCCAAAATCAGAACCAACTGGAGAGAAAGAAGTGTATTCTGATTAAAGTTCTTTAAGATCATCTTTTAACAATTTCTCAACAATCCTGAAAAAAGCCATAATGAATCCATCAAGGCCCAGTGCTTTTCTCTATCCATAGAAAATATTGCATTTTAATTACCTCCAAATCAAATGATCTTTCTAGATTCTCCACCAACTCCCTACCCGAAGTAAGTTGAAGTAATCCCCAAAGGCCAATGCAACCTAATTTTTAAAAATTCAAAAATGACAAAAAGTTGCATGTTAACTTGAAAAGGGGGGAAAAAGGCCAATATGAAGACAAAAGTAATGCAGCATACTTCATTAAAATGAACCTGATCATAGCTTATTTAATTTGACAAGGACTACTACAAACCACCAATAAATGGAAGAGGTTAGACCTTCCAAGTTCCATTATCCTTTATCACTTGTAATTAAAAATAATCACATAAGTAAATAAAAAAGTCAACCATAGAATTAATGCATGGACAAGAAATGATAAAGGCCATTACTAAATGTTGGTCCCAGCAATCTGGGGTCATGGGATGGGTAGACTGGGTACGGTGCTAACCTTTGGCATTTTTTGCACAAAGTAACCGCCCTCAGACTCGAATCTGCGTTCTCACGCTTGCAGCTTGCAAGCTCAAGATTTTAATATTACACCAAGTAATGGCCCCTATGAACAAGAAATGATGTTTAGAAAAAAAAAAAAAAAAAAAAAGAAAGGGTCATCAATTATTATTGAAGCAACACCTTCAGTCCCACTGAAAAGTCGGAATGCTCCTTGTTTTCACTATTAATGCAGACAACTGGGAGAAGCGTGGCCAAGATAACTGTAAGTTCCTGCTAGTCAAAATATAGTGGTATAACAGAGTAAAACATCATGATAACTAATCACAAACTTAATAAACATTTTTTATAGATACACAAACTCAAGAAATATGTTCATGGCCAATTAGTAATTGTAATAAGCGACCCTCCCAACAAAATAGAAAAAAAAGTATTCTTAAAGGATCATAGCAGAGCAGTATAACAGTGCAGCATATAAATCAATTCCAACCTAAAATACCCAAAAGACAAGCAATTAAACTACCTCTATGCCAATATATGCACACACAAACATTCTATATGGATAAAGATGTCTCAGGTTACAACTGATTGTGCTATAACAATTTTAATAGGGGTTTGTTCAAGACTTGATAGTGATTTTGTGATAATGTTTTAAAATGTGTTGGTGAGCTTCGGTGAGGAATGTGGGGAAGTTGAAGGAGAGACTCGAGTTCCTGCATCACTGAGGAACATGGTGCGATTTATTAACTCAGATCCAGATATTTGAGATGTGAAGACTTGGGTGTCGGTGGAATGGCATGGAAGAGGGTTCAAAGGAGTGAGAAGATTAGGAGCTTGCCTGTTTCTGTTTAGTTTCAGGAGTAGGAACAATAAAGAGATTGTGTGGGAACATGATAGGTATGGAGTTAGTAGGTTTCCAGAGTTAAGACTGGATAAAAGGTGCCCGACGGTGGGACAAATCTCTGAAGAAGTAAACTTCATATGGATCGATGTTTACAGGATTCCACTACATGCTTAGAGTACAGAAACTTTTAAAGCAGTTGGGGACGCTGTGGGAAAATTTAAAAGATAGAAATTATCTAGGGGTACAGCTGCAGTTTGCAAGAATCCTAATTCAGACGGAGAATGCGGTGAAAATTCATCCTCTTCTTGACCTGTTTTATTCTGGAGAACAGTACCAACTCAGGATTGTTGTGGCAGGAAGAGATCCTTGCTTCAATAAGGGGGAGGTTTCCTGGAGACCAGAACTTGAGGAGGGGAGGAGTAGAAGTGGGATGGAAGGAAGGAAGAGAGCAGGAGAAATCGGATAAAGGAAGAGAGAAGAAGATGAACAGTCAAAGTGGTCAGGGGAGCATAGGGAGGAAGAAGAAGAAGCTGAAAGGTCGGGGCAAAGACAAAATAAGGGCAAATTTTGTAATTTTATGAAAAAATACCTATTTAATGAATAAGGGTAAAATGGGTAAAGAGGGTAAAGAGGATGGGGAAGTTTAAAAATTTGAAGTAAAGAGGGAGGAAAAAAGACAATTTTGGGGCTAGAAAAAGGGAAAGTAGAGGCTGCAGTCAAAGGAACTCTTGGAGCGTAGGAAAAACAGAGCTTGACGAACAAGAGATAGGTTCAAGTTACACATCAAATCGGAACAGGAGAGTGGTTCGAGAGTGGAGAAGAAGGGTCAAGAGGAGGAAAAACAGAAGACCTGCGGGAGTTAGGAAAGACAAAAAGAACAAGAAGAACCAAAGGAGAAGGCGAGCAAGAAAGGAATAGCAAAGGAAGGAAATGGGAGGAAGCAAGGACATTTGGGGCGACATCTGCTGAATTTTCAGTTTTATAAGATGGTGCAGAAAGTGGGGAGAGCTGTAAGGAAAAAGAGCAGTGTGATCTTTCCATGGCAACACATCAAAGCAACAAGTTTCAGGTAGGCCAAATCAGTACCAATTATCTTGAGGTGGGAGGATTTGAGGAATCCCTAGGGAAAGGGACAGGTGTGTCTCAGAATTTGGGGGAGGGGATGGTAAAGGAGGCAAGGGAGCCGGGGAAGGAAATAAGGGAGAAGAGAGTGGTTGCAGATGAGCAAACTGAAGGGGGGAAAGAATCTGGGGTGTTGGAGATTGGTGAAACTGTTGAGGGAGGTAAGGAAACGACGAGGGTTAGTGTGGGTGAGGGAGGGGATGTGTTGGAAACCTTTGGGGAAGAGTTAGAAGATCCAGGAGAAAAGGAGAATACTGGGGAAAGGGAGACTGGTAAGGAACAAGTATATAAAAGGAAAAAATAAAGAACAAGGCCTTTGGAAGATAAGGGAGAAGGGGAAGCGGCAGAGGAACAGGAGCAGGTGGAGACTGATGAGACACACTAGGTTGGCCAGACAGCTGATTTTGATAAAGTAATTGATGCAGAGGTGAGGGTGAGCAAAGTTCTGAGTCTTTTCTTTTTAGAGGGAGAGGAGTTCACAAGGAGAGCCTTTAGAGAAGTGGAAGAAGAGTGCAAAGGGGAAGAACAAGGAATAGGGAGAAGTCTCAGGAGAGAGAAATAAAAAACAAAAAAGGAAAAGAGAGAGAGAGAGAGAGAGAGAGAGGGAAAAGAAGGAAAGAGAGAAAAAGAAAAGAAAGGAAGGAAAAAAGATATTGCTAAGAAAGGTAAAGTAAGGAAATCAAAGATAACAATTTGTTCTTGGAATGTTAGAGGGCTGAGAGATCCAAAGCACGGAGAGGTGGTTAGGAATTTTGTAAGTCCACAGATTGTGGCAGCAAGAAGCAATGCTGTAACTGAATATAGAGCCATGGCACACACTATATGTGAACTAGTATGGTTGAAGAATCTCTTACAGGAGATGGGGTACACAATTGATAGTCCCATAAAGCTGTATTGTGACAACCAAGCTGCAGTCCACATTTCATCTAATCCAATTTTCCATGAGAAAAAAAAAAAAAAAAAAACATATAGAAGTTGATTGTAACTTTGTGAGAGAAAAGGTGCTAAGTGGAGTAATAAGTACTGCATATTTAAACATAGGAAGTCAATGGGCAGACCTGCTCACCAAGGAGTTGAGCGGGGGAAGACTGGATTACATTTGTAACAAGCTAGGACTATATGATATGTACTCACCAGATTGAGGGGGAGTGTTAGAATCGGCTATACAGGGGCAGTTTGGTCATTTCATTTTACATTAAAAGTGTGGTATTATGTCTTTTATATTTTGGTTTAAGTACTATATCCCATACTTAATTAGGGGCATAAGTGTCTTTGTCTTCTTTAATCAGAAACGTATAAATAATACCTGGCCGACTAGAGAAAGACATCTTCTCTAGTTTGAACCAGTTCTCTCTCTTCTGATATTATTCTCTGCTTTTCTAGGGCTGAAACCAGTACAGATCAGTTTTGTAACACAAAGCAATCTTGCTTTCTTGCTTCCTCTTATCTTCGGCCATGTAGAAAAAATTTCTGCAGCAGATTCTGGATAAAAGTTAGATAACCCAAACAAAACAGCGAAAATCTTCCACAAAAACCCAGCAACCTTACACGAGAATAGATGGTTAACAGTTTCCTCCCATTCTTTACAGAGGAAGCACATGTTAGCCATGTTGAAACCCCTGGATTTCAGATGCTCCACTATCAGTATATTATCCATTGCCACGAGCCAAGCAAACGCTTTAACCCTTGAAGGAACTGGATTTCCCCATACACCATCTAGCTGATTTGGATCTGAATCACCCGAGTATAACCATGTAGCATGATTTAACAGAGAACTTCCCATTTGAGCACTCTTTCCACCAAAGTTCATCCCTTGTTTGAGATGATATCTTCACTTCCTCTAGTTTATCCAGAAGATATATGCATTCCTCCACTTCTCTGTCAAGTAAAGGCCTTCTAAACTTTGTACACCATATCAAATGATCACCCCTCCTCTCATAATATTGATTTATAGAAACTTCAGCCTCAGTCAACCTATACAGCCTTGGACATAGATCACACAATTTGCCTGCCCCGCACCAATCATCCTCCCAAAACCTCTGCACCATCTTCAACTGAGAAACTTGTTAGGCATCTGAGATCCTAATTGAATTTCATGATCCCCTTCCACACACTCACCCCATATGAAGACCTCACCTCCTTGAATTCCCACCCAAACCTCACCATCCCATACTTCCCCACCACCACTCTTCTCTATAATGAATTTTCCTCCCTCCATAACCACTTCCCTACCAAGGCCTTAATGAAAATCTTCACCCTGATAAATCCCAACCCACCCTTATCCTTTGGTTTACAAACTCTCCCCCAATTTACCAAATGAAACTTCTTTCCCCCACCTTCCCTGCAAAACCCTTCCCATAAGAAATCCCTCTGAATTTTTCAACTCTTTCAGCCACTTGAGATGGAATCCTTAGTAAGGACATGAATAAGTTAGTATGCTTGAAAGGATACTCTTGATTAAAGTTATCCTTCCTCCCAAAGATATTTTGATTTCCATCCATCCTCCTTTCCAGCCTTTCCACTATTGGTCTCCATAAAGCACCTAATTCTGAAGCTTCCCCAATCGGCATCCCTAAACAAGTGAAAGGAAGCTCCCCTGTTCAGCATTTAAAGGCCCCAGCACACTCCAATAAAGCCTCCCTTTCACCTCCCAGACTCCAACCAATACACTATTTGAAAGTTTAACTTTCATCCCATTAAGAACTCAAAGTTCGCCAAAACTGCTCTTGAATTTAAGACCTGCTCAGCCGATGCATCCAAGAAAATCAAAGTGTCGTCTGCACATTGCAGATGAGCAATACAAGGTCCCTCTCTGCCCACCTTGAATCCTTCAATTAAACCCAACATATATGGATTCATGTTTGCATATTCAAATCAAGCTGATGGTGTGTGGAAAAATCCGGTCCCTCCCAAGGTTGAAGAATTTGCATCATTGCATGGCTTGTGGCCATGGATAGCATGTTTACTGTGGACCATACAAAATCTAGGGGATTCAATATGGCTAATATGTGCTTCCTGTGCAAAGAGCAAGAGGAAAACATTAGCCATTTATTCTTCTCATGCAAGATTTCTGGATTTTTGTGGAGGCTGTTACTGCTCTGTTTGGGTTAAGAGACTTTCGTCCAACTTCTACTGCTGAGAATTTTTTCTTCATGGCCAAAGATGAGAGGAAGCAAGAAAGCAATGGTGATATGGAGCTGCATTCCGTTTGCAATCTGTTGGAACATATAGAAGGAAAGAAACAGAACAGTTTTTGAAAACAAATTGCAGAGTTTGGATAAAATTGTGGAAGCTATCAGCAAATCTGTCGCAGATTGGGTGTTGCTACTACCAGAATTTAGACAAATCACAAGGGAGGATCTTGGGGATAAGCTTGGGAAAGTTCTGGGGTTTCAAATCTGCAATTTGGAGAACTTATATCGAATGCTCTTTTGTAGTTGTTTGTTTCTGTATGCTGGTGATACCTTATCACCTATTAGATTGTACGTTTTATTTTCTTTTAATGAAATTTCATTTCTACCATAAAAAAGAGGTTTTACTTGGCAAAAAGATGTGTATTCCTTGACAAAAAGAGAGGTTTTTATGGAACTGTATTCCTTTTGCTATTTGTTGAGAAATTTGGAAAGAAAGAAATAAAAGAATCTTTGAAGGCGAGATGAAGAGTAACGAAAGGCTAGACATAGTTATTGGAGCAAAGCTTATGAATTGGATGTTGATCCTTCCAAAACTTGGAGGCCTTAAAAGAGAAGATTTTGGTTCTAATTTTTGGCGCACTATGAATTTCAGTTAATGTAATATGTTTAAAAGAGTCAAATCGTTTTCTATTGTTTCTTGTTTTTGGTCTTGGATTAGTGACAATTTCTCATCAGATCTTGCAATTTATTGCGTTATTAATAAAATTTCTTTCTTTTATTTATCTTCAAAAAAAACTAGAGATATCATTCTATCTAGGTTTTCATAATAACCAGAAAAAATGAAGCAACTTAGTTCACCTACACACTAGCATTATTAAAGTTACCAAAGGATGCACAATACCTCAAAATCAAGCAAAGGAGGACCATCTTCTGACAATAAAGAGGCATTTAGGACATTATGCAGACTACAAGTTGCCAAAAAGGCGACCTCTTGATCTTTTTTATACCTGTTTAATGATAAGAAACATTAATCTCCTTAAGCCCGTATGAATGTCTTAGAAAATGGACATTAGACAATGAAATAATGTCAAAAAGAAAAGCATTATATCTGGTGCCATAATAAGAATCTATGAATGAACATCACAAAATAAAAGAAATCTTACAATTCTAATATAGTTTGAACAAGTCTTGGTAAAGCTGCCTTTAGTTGCAACCTAGTAATGAGACCAACCATCTGACCTAGTGCCTCCACAGAAGAGACACGCACCTATTAAAAGAACAAGACAACAAAGCACATTACGTCTACGTAAACTCTCTATAGATCAAAGCATGAAAAAGGGTGCCAAAAGAATTTTTTATTCGAAACAAAATCTTTAATAATGTATAAAAGGAATGTTTTAAAGTAAAGAAGAGACATGCACCTCTGGAGGTGAAGGTATTTGATGAAATGCATAAGGTAAGCCCAAACTTGCAACATTCCTTTGAATCAGGCAGTAAATTGGGAGATTTAAATATGGTCAAATCTCTCAGGTTGTTTTTCTTACGGGGTGAAGACAATGCTTTCAAACGATAAAAGGGGAGGGAAAGAGATTTAAGTAGTTGGGTATCAGAAGTTGGGGTGAAAGAACATCAAATTCTTTTTATGACATGTCAAAAGCTGAGGAATTCATTAAGGCCTGATGGATTTAACTTTAGCCTCATTAAGGCCAGTTGGAGCTTCTTTTTTTTCAAGAACTCCTGGATGGAAAAGAAATGCCATCCTCACCCTAAGATAAATAGGAAAAACCATGCTATTAATGGAGATGTACTTCTTACAAAATGTTAAAAGAATGACGAAAAATGGCATTCCATTCTACTAATAGTTTTGAACTAAGCAAGATTCTTTGCATGACTACTTGAAGAAACGGCTTCCTCCTTTTTGGACCCTATAGCTTCAGGCTTTTTGACCCAAGCAGGAGATCAGTCTGGCTCATAGCGATAATAATAAAAGAGTTCCTCCCCAGCTTTTATCCGTTTCGTTGCAAATATACCCACCCTGTGATCCCCCGCTACCATGATGACCTTGCCATAGAAATTTGGATCAGGAGAATGATTAACAAATTTCAATTTATCACCCTTCTGATAAGCATCAAGAACAAACTGATCGTTCAGATTGAAAAGAAATGATGAGTTTTCAAGGTCATATATCTTTCCACACTTATCAGCTTCTCAGTGTGAGATAAGTTCTATGGTGTACTCTCCCATGTATTCATGTTTGCCAACACTATTCTTAAGAAATGCTCCCCAGCCAGATACATTAGACCTTCCAAGTAAGACCCTTTGTTGTTGTTTGAGCTTCTTGGAGGAGGGTTTTGTCCAAATGATCAAGGAGTTCTGTGACACAAAAGAGCTGGATAAGAGGTTGAATGCCACTTTTATTTCTTTGACTCAAAAGAAGGATGGGGCAGTGAATATTAAAGATTTCAGGCCAATTAGTTTAATAAGTAGCCCTTATAAGCTGCTGGCTAAGGTGTTATCATGGAGGCTGAAAGCAGTTTTGCATGAAGTGATGGGAGAAACCCAGACGGCCTTCGTGGAAGGAAGGAAAATTTCAGATAGGGTGCTGGCTAGTGAATGTATTGACTCTAGTCTGAGAAGTGGGAGGCCAGGTCTGGTTTGTAAGATTGACATTGAAAAGACATATGATCACGTGGAATGGGGTTACCTAGAGGAGCTGGGTGTATGCTTGAGTATCTTTGGTATCTTTTTCTCTTCTTCTCAATGGAATCTCATCAGATTTCTTTCAAGCATCCAGAGGTTTGTGGCAGGGAGATCCAATTTCCCCTTTGCTTTTTGTTCTGGTCATGGAGGTGTTAAATCTGCTTATGGTGAAGGGTGCTCAACTGGGCTGGATTGAAGGCTTTAGAGTGGGTTTGGAGGGGCCCTACATTTCTCATCTTCAGTACACGGATGACACCCTCTTTTCTCTAGATGCTTCAGTGAACCAAGTATTGAGTACAAGAGCTATACTGGCAAACTTTGAGATGTTAACAAGTGTGAAAATTAATCTGTCCAAGAGTCTCTACTAATTGGTGGGTGAAGTAGGAAGAGGGGTGCTGGAACAGTGTGCTGCAGTGTTAGAATGTCAGTTAGGGGAGTTATCTTTCCTTTATTCGGGTCTCCCGGTGGGAACCAAGATTTCTGAAGTAGGGGTATGGAGGCCAGTGCAAGAAAGGGTGGAAAAAGACTGGAGATATAGAAAGCAAAATACTTATCTTTTGGGGGCAGAATAACTCTCATTAGAAGTGTTCTCTCAAACTTACTAACATATTATCTGCCACTCTTAAAAATCCCAAGGAAGGTGGCTGACAAGATTGAAAATTTTCAGAGAGATTTCCATTGAGGAGTTAGGAAATTGATGCAGAAGACTTTTGAAGTTTGATGACAAGCATAGATCCTAGGAGAGGTAGGATATGGTGCAGATCCTGGTGGAGGTGGAGGAGCTCTCAAAAATCCCAAGTTACAATGATTTATGGTTTGCCATAGAAAAATACGACTTGAGTATAATGGTGGAGGGGGAGGATAATTCTTTTTTGCATATCTCTCGGGACAGGCACAGCTCTACTCCAGTGGAGAAGCTGGCAAGGGGGAGAGCAGAGTCAAGAATCCCAAGGACTAGATGCAGAGGAGAGGGAGATAAGACATTGGGGGAGCAAGGAAGGAGGCAACGAGGTGGGGAGTTCGAAGGCCAAAAGGGGAAACCCACAAGAAAAAAGAGGTAAGGGAGAACAAGTGGCGTGCGGGGGTGAAGATTGAAGGACAAAGTAACAAGTAATCAAAAAGGGGCGGGAAAAGGAGAAGTCGAAGAAGTTGAAGGGGCAGTTATAAGTGGCGACTCTTTGAATTCAATGAGTGGGGCCGAGTCAAAAAAGGGATGGCCAAAAAACTCCAAGCGAATGGGATTAGGAATAAACTTGAATAGAAAGAAACAAAAAAGATCTGTTTTCTTATGTGGTACGGAGAGAAAAAGAAGAAAGATTAACCCAGAACCAAAGAGAAGAAGAGAGAAAGGATGTGGTTGGTTATGTCTGGCCGCCCCACTAATTCTTATTTATACTTGTAACTTAAACAGTAGGTAGAATTCCTCTAATACCCCTACTAACTTCATAAGAAAACAAAACAAATAAATATGGCCTAACTACCATAACTGTCATGAAATAACATAAACAAATAAACAAAAATAAAGTGTGGGACCACACACTAACAACTATCTCTAAACTCCCCTCAAGTTGGGAGTAGATATTAGTCATTCCTAACTTGCATAAATCTGACTCCAACTTGATTTTTGTGGCCACCTTAGTGAAGAGATCAGCTAGTTGCATATCTGAACCAATATAAGGAAGGCACACTTCTTGAGATGCAACTTGCTCTCGAACAAAATGTCTATCCACCTCAATATGTTTAGTCCTGTCATGTTGTATTGGATTGAGGGCAATGTTAATGGCAGCCTGGTTATCGCAATACAGCATCAAAGGTTTCTCATATTCAACCCCCAACTCATTAAGTAAAGATCTCAACCATAACACTTCTGCCACACCATTAGCCATGGACCTGTATTCAGCTTCAGCATTGGAGCGAGCAACAACATTTTGTTTCTTACTTCTCCAGGAAACAAGATTTCCCACTATAAACGCACAATACCAAGAGGTAGATCTCCTATCATCAATACACCCAGCCCAATCAACATCTATATATACCAAGGTTCAAAATTCCAATACAATATGCCCCGTATGGGGCATTTCATATTATATCTTTGGGGGTCTGATACACATGTTTACAGGTGTTTTGGGACCCCACTTTTTTTTAATAAAAAATATGCTTAAATATCTTCCCAAAAAGCAAATTTTGAAAAAAAAACTAAAAAAAAAAAGTATTTCTGCGTGCATCTAAGTACCAATATGCCTCTGCTGATACACAGAGGCATATCGATACTTTGAACCATGGTATATACCTCTATCTTCATGTGACCACTATTCTTGAAGAGTATGCCTCTCCTTGGGCACCTCTTTAGGTAAGCAAGTATCCTCTCCACCACAAGAATGTGGGTGGTTCTAGGAGAATGCATGTACTGACTAATAACACTTATAGCATAAGAAATATCTGGTCGTGTTAGGAAAAGATAAAGAAGCTTCCCAACCAACCTTTGATACATAACCCTGTCTTCAAGAGGTTCTCCACCTTCTACACTTATCTTATGGTTCAGCTCAATGGGTGTGTCAGCAAGCTTTATTCCTAACTTTCTAGTTTCTTCCAATAAGTTAAGAGCATACTTTCTTTGAGAGACAAAAACACCATGCTTTGATCAACCTACCTCATTTCCCAGGAAATAGCACAGTTCCCCCAAGTCTTTCACTTCAAACTCCTGGCGAAGATGCTGCTTAAGAGAGTCAATCTCACTAATATCACTTCCTTTCACTACAATGTCATCTACATAGACAGCAAGTAGAGTCAAAGAAGAGTTTGTTTTCTTAAAGAAGAGATTGTGATCTGACTGAGCTTGCATATAACCAAACCTTTCCAAAGCCTGTCTAACCTATCAAACCAGGCTCTTGGAGATTGCTCCAGCCCATATAAAGCTCTCTTCAACCAGCACACCTTCTTTCCTGCTTCTGTACTATAAAAACTAGGGAGAGAACTCCATGTACACCTCCTCTTGCAAATCTCCATTGAGGAATGCATTGTTGACATCCATCTAAAACAGTGGCCATGAGAAACTTGTAGCAATGGATAGTAAGACTCTGATAATGTTCATCTTGGCTACTGGGTGCAAATGTTTCCAAATAATCTATGCCATAAGTTTGAGTGAATCCCTTTGCAACCAATCTAGCCTTATATCTCTCTACAGAATCATCAGCATTATATTTCACTGTAAACACCCATTTACACCCAACAAGTTTCTTCCCCTCAGGTTGGTCAACTAACTCCCATGTATTGTTTTTAACAAGAGCATTCATCTCTACTTTCATTGCTTCCTTCCACTCAGGTGTCAATAAGGCTTCTTGCATTGTTCTGGGAATAGAAATAGCAGCAATACGATAGAGAGGAAAAAGGTAAGAACACTAGAGCATAGGGTATTAGGCTGGCCAATACGATAGAGGTGGATCTAAAAAATTTGGTTGATAGGGAGGTTACAATTAGCAAGTTGTTAGGTCTACATTTTTGGAGAGGGGAAGGCTTCGCAAGGATTGCCTTTGAATGGTTTGAGAAAAGAAACTTCTAGGAAAGAATGGGGAGGACAGATACAAGGATGAGGAAGGGGGTGAGGAAAATCACTTTATAAAGGAGTAAGGGGACTAAGGTTGGGAGTTTAAGAGTTAAGGGGTGGAAGGCAAAATGAAATTGTTGAGTTGGAACGTCTGAGGTCTGAAGGGGAGAGGAGAAGAATGTTGGTTAGGAATTTCATCAAAAAATATAATCCAAAGGTCGTTTTACTACAGGAGACCAAGTTAGAAGCTTCTTATCTAAGGATGAAATATGAGATTTGGGGAAGGGGCAGTGGTGAATGGGTGGCATTGAATGTTGTAGGGCAGGCATGAGGTCTGCTCATCTTATGGGATCCTAAAGCCTTTAGGAAGGTAGGGGAGCAGGTTGGGATATTTTTGTGTCGATCTATTTACATTTAGCTAATAGGAACTGGAGGTAGGGCTTGTCAAATGTTTATGGACCTAATGAAGAAGGGGAGAGATTGGAGTTGTGGGAGGAACTAGAAAGCTTGAGACAGAGGTCGGAGGGGCCATGTTGTTTGGGGGGAGATTTTAATATAGTTAGGAGGAGTGAAATGAAAGGAGGGAACAAAGAAAAGATAGTGCGGATTTGAGAAGATTTGAAGACTTTACCAGAAGACATGAGCTTTGACCATCCATTAAATGGTGGAAGAGTTACCTCGTCAAATGGTCAATGCCAAGCAATCCTTAGAAGGCACGACAGGTTCTTTTTTCTCCTAGCTCCCACAACCATAGGGTGGACTGGGAGGTGGTTACTAGAAGCAAGAAGCAAGGAGGTCTTAGGAATGGGAATATAAGAAAAAGAAATATGGCTTTATTGGGGAATTGGTTATGGAGGTTCCCTCTAGAGAAGGAAAGTTGTGGGCTAAGATAGTGGCTAGCATCCATGGACAAGAGGACAATGGGTGGGATCCTGGAATTTTGGCAAGGACTACTAGTGTTTCTCCGTGGAAAGCCATACATGACCTTCTACCAATTTTCTCCCCTTGGATTAGGTATGATTTGGACACAGGAAACCTCATTATATTTTGGGAACAAACTTGGCTCTGACCTGAAAAATGAGACAATTTCTTCATTCTTAGTTCCTTCAGATTCTGCCTCTGGGTTTGGGTGGAATTTGGGACTGAGAAAGGTTGTTAGGGATACAGATTTGGGTAACATTTCTAACCTTTTGGCCATTCTTGAAAATGTTTTCTTGGACCCTTCAAAGGAAGACAGCAGATTATGGACCCCCTCACCCTCGGGCTCTTTCTCTTGTGCATCTCTATTCAAAACTTTAACTCAACAACCTACTCTTCCTAGTTTGCCTTACCCTGTTAAAGAGGTCTGGTGCAAGCTCATTCCTTCTCGGGTTGAGAGTTTTTGTTGGGAGACTATCCTAGAAAGAATAATACAAGTGATCTGCTTCAAAGAAAGAGACCCAAGACTTGTTTATCCCCGCATAGGTGTATTCTCTGCAAGGCGGATGGGGAATCTGGTTACCACCTTTCGGTATCTTGCCACTATGCTAAAACTATGTGGGAGTGGGTTTTTTCACTTTTTGGGTGTACTTGGAACCCCCCCCCCCCCAATGAATGTACAGAATTTGTTTTCCCCTTCCTTCTTCAGCTGGCCAATGAAAAGAGGCAGGATCATGTGGAGGTGTTTGGGCGCTGCGGTGTAATGGACCTTATGGGAAGAAAGAAACTCAAGACTTTTTCAGATCAGGAGAGAAACATTGAGAACCTAATAGAGTTTATCCATATTAGGGTGGCACATTGGCTGAAATCTCTGGAATTATTCACAGACTTCACCGTGGATGACCTGTTGAGAAGTTGGAAAAAGATAGCAAGTTCTGCCAAAATATACCTCCCCCTTCAGGCTTCCTAAAATTGAATTTTGATGGCAACAGTCTTAGGAACCCAGGTTTGTCAGGTATTGGGGGAGTATTCAGGAATGAGGAGGGGATTGTTTCAGCTATTTACTCTGGCCCTATTGGAGAGGGTGACTCTCTAAGGGCTGAGATATTTGCGGCGTTGGAGGGAGTTCAAAGAGATAGGGAGCTGAACATTAGCAGACTGATAATTGAAGGGGACTCGGAGGTGGTGGTAAAAAGGCTAAAAGGAAAACAAGACTGCCATGTGGAATTACAGCAATAAAAGGAAAAAATTTAAATGGTTGGCAAAAGATATTAAGATAAAACTCAGTTGGGTGAAGAGATCTGCTAACTCATTTGTGGATCGGTTAGCAAAGCAAGGGGTGATTAGGGATTCTTTGTTTTGAGAGCATTTCTAATCTTGTAATTTCGTTTTGCTGATTGCAGGGGAGTTCAGATAGCTTCCCTCCCTCTGTTTGTATGTATGTTTCTTCTTTAATCATAATGAAGTTCATTGTTATCTATCAAAAAAAAATTTGTACAATTCTCAGGCCTCAAACTTTTTCGGTTTGAAAATGTTTGGCTGTATCAACCAAACTTTGTGGAGTGGGTTGAGGAAAAATGGAGGGGCATTTGGAAGGTTCAACAGGGTTCAGGTGATGAGGAAGTTATAGTTAATAAAAGAGGAACTTAAAGGCAGGAGGTTAGAGGTGTTTGGCAATGAAGAAGTTAGAAGGAAAGAGCTGTTGGAAAAGTTGGACGGATTGGTGAGATTGGTGGAGGATGGAGTCATCTCAAGGGAAGCGAAGGCGGAAAAAGAAATTCTGGGAAGTGAACTACAAAGATTAATCCTGAGGGAGGAAGTGAGTTGGAGACACAAGTCAAGGGTAACGTAGTTAAAAGAGGGAGACAAAAGTACAGCTTTTTCCATGCTCTTGCAAGTGGGAGGAGAAGGAACCTAATTACAAGGATTCAAGTGGAGGAGGAAGTCCCCAAGACAAGGGAAGAAATCCAAAGGCTGGTGGTGAATTCTATAAGAAACTTTGCTCAGGTAGACCTTGGTATTGGCTGTCTCTGGGTGGCATTGAATCTAAAAAACTCATGCCGTTTCAGCAGGTATGGAGAGGGAGATTGATGTGGCTGAGGTAAAGGAGGCCCTGAAAAGGTTGAATGGAGATAAAGCTCAGGGGCCCAACAGTTTTAACTTTAATTTTATAAAATGTTGGCACTTCTTGGAGGAAGACTTCATGCTGATGTTGAAGGAATTTTGTGAAAATAAATCTTTAGATAGAAGAGCCAATGCCACTTTTATCTCCTTGATACAAAAGAAGAGGGGGGCCTTGAATATAAAAGATTTCAGGCCAATAAGTTGGATTAGCAGCCCGTACAAACTCTTGGCTAAAGTTCTATCTTGAGGCAGAAGAAAATGCTTCACGAAGCGGTGGGAGATTCACAGATGGATTTTATAGAAGGAAGACAAATCCTAGACAGGGTGATGGTGGCCAACGAATGCTTAGATTCAAGGCTGAGAAGCGGGAGACCTGGTTTGGTGTGTAAGCTTGATAAGAAAGCATACGACCACGTTGAGTGGGGATTCTTGGAAGCAGTCCAAAATATGATGGGCTTTGGAGAAAAATGGAGAGGCTGGATGTTTGGGTGTATTTCCTCTGTCTCCTTCTCAGTTGTACTCAATGGAATAACTTCAGAATTCTTCCAAGAAACTAGGGGGTTGAGATAGGGAGACCCCATCTCTCCTTAGTTGTTTGTGCTGGTTATGGAGGTGCTGAATCTGCTGTTAAACAAAGGGGTTCAGCATGGTTGGATTGAAGGCCTTAAGGTAGGGGCAGAGGTCCTTGCATTTCCCATTTACAATATACCGATGACACACTCATCTTCTTAGATGCAAATGTGATCAGGTGCTGAACTTAAGAGTAATCTTGGCCAACTTTGAGCTGTTGTCAGGGCTGAAAGTGAACTTAGAAAAGTCTTTTAATTGGAGCAAGGGAAAGAAGAAATGAGGCAATTTGCAGCAGCTTTGAATTGTCAAATTGGGGACCTGCCTTTTATGTATTTGGGCCTCCCGGTTGGGGCTAAATCACTACTTGGAGACCACTTATACAAAGAGTGGAAAAGGCTCTGGGAAGTTCTGGTGTTACAATCCTGTAATTTAATAATTTGTTTTGATTTCACTTTTTTTTATGTAAGCTTTGTTCATAGGCGTTGCCTTAACACCTTAACTTTCTTTCTTAATGAAATTTTTTCTTTTACTATCAAAAAAGAAAAAAAGAATGTCTTATAACATTTTGCACATACTACATATGCATGAACAGATACCATAACATGCATACAAGTTAGGGGGACAAAAAGGAGGAGCCTATAACAGACCTTCAGATCTCTAGAATTTGCCCAAACCCTCAATAGAAGTTCAAAAGCAGAATTAAGAAATGACCTGCATTAAAATGTACAACTTTATTTCATAGAGAAAACAACTACTGAGCAATCAAACCTGCCACCAAACACCAAAACTGGAAAAGACATCACAATGTAAACTCACATGACATCACTATCAAGAAGTGCATTAGATGGAAAATCTCCACTGTATTGCCAAGCAGCCTGACACCAGCACTTAAATGCTGAAAAATGGAGAATAAGTACATATTTGCTGGCTAAAAAAAACAAGATAAAAAGAAAAGGGAGCTCAGGATGATAACATGAATAATTACAGAACAGCCATTTCGCTTGGAAGAAATATATAAAACAATATGTTGCAGAAATATCTTGTTTCACATAAAACTTGAACTACATCCGAACCGAACCAATTCAGTGTGCTTCATGAATAATAAAATAATAAATGTTCCAAAATGAGCTCCATGCATAATCACTATACCATGTGCAAAAATTGGTCGTTGTGCATCTCTAACATTTCCAAGTATAGGCAAAACTCGGGAAAGAACACCTTTTAATTGTGGGGTGAACTGAGAAGCTTCAAAAGAATAAACAAGTATAAAAGACCTTTTAGTTTTATCTGACAAAATGCAATCAATATCACAGAAACCTCTACAGCTAATAAAAGCAATGACAATAGGAAGATGATGAACCTTCAGCTGAAGCAAAGTCTGCAAGTATTTGAACCATAGCTGGTAAAGTTGAATTGGTTCCCGACAGGTGGAGAAAAATTTCATCCATCATCTACCAAATTAAAAAAGAAACTAAAAAGTTAGAAAGTTACAAGAAAAAAAGACACAGGACAGTTGGTTACAAAATGAATCACTGTTACTTCATTTTTCTCCCTTAAAAAATATATATATATTATTAAACAGTATGCCATGCATCAACGAGTCACCGCTAGTATATATATAGACAAAAGAGAAGGCCTCTTTGCCTTTCTTTTCCTTTTCCTTGGAAAGAAATAAATGAGTATAATTTGCCACAGGATAATACATATAAATCATCCTAACCCATACAATAGCCATGGCAAGCTACAGTCACCATGCAAAAAGAAAAGAAAAGAAAAAAGATATTTTCAACACCTGATTTGATCAGCAAATCATTCATGGAGTCAAGTTATTGAATCAATATTGCTTGAATGTTCAACTGATGATATTTTCTTTCTCTTGACTTTTTTTGGGAAGTACCATCTCTCATTAAACAGAAAAATTCTGTTCCTTAGCTTTTTTTCCTTTTTTATTGTGTGTATATTTCTTTCGTTTGCTCTTTCTCTCGGAAATATTTTACTAGTAAACAAATCAGTATTATGTAGTTGTTAATAGTTTATTTAAATGTGATTTTCTTTTTGATAAATAACCAACAGCTTTATCAACTAGAAACTTTTTTTTTTATAAATGAAAATTTTTATTAGGAAAATGGATGGAAACAGATAAGAATTACAAAAGACACTTGGAGAGGCACAAGTTGCAACCTCTCCAACCCATCAAAAGCTAAAATAGATTACAACAGTGCCCAATACAAATGTTCCCTAGTTGCCCCTTGCTTGGATAAGCAATCAGCCAAAGCATTAGTAGATCTCCCCTACCCATCATATTTTTTGATAAGTAAAAATTCTCTAATATTTCATTAGATCAGTAAAGATAAGCAATTGTTACAAGCTTCCCCAATGGAGGCACGAGATGCAGCCTCACTCATAAAGAAAAGACAGCACAAGAACTACAATTGAGCCCAAAATAAATGATCCCTAGTTACCCCTTGCTTAGCTAATGAATCAGCCATAGCATTAGCCTCCCTCCCCACCCATTGTATAAGCAAGCTCATCTGCTGTGCTAACCACCTGAATTTCTTCATTTTGTCTCGATAGCACCATACCACTGAATCTGGGTATTTTAGCCAGCCCACCACCACCTTGGAGTCCCCTTCAATCACCAGGTTTTCCAAATTCACCTCTTTTGCAATCTGGACACCTTGTAAGACTGCAAACAGTTCAGCCCTTATAGAGTCTCCATTCCACACAGTCCTGAAAAAAGTGCTACCAGATTCCCTTCCCTATCTCTTATGACTCCACCAATTCCAGAAGGACCTGGATTTCCTTGGCTACTTGCATCAAAATTTAATTTCAATAAGCCTTCACCGTGAGGTGCCCATATCAACCTTGTTTCAGCCTACTGTACTGAATTAGAAGCCACTGATAACCAGTTCCTCCAAATATCATCAAAGGAGAATTGTCTGAACAAATCCAAAGTAGCCAATGTATAACTCTAGTCAAAACACAGTCCATAATTTCTTCTTTGATTCTCTGCTTCTCTTTGAAGATCCTAGTGTTTCTTTCCTCCCATAAGGTCCAAATCATTGCTTCTCTAGTGCATCTCCACATTATCCCCCCCCCCTTTGGCCATGCAAAGGTAGATGGACAAATAGCATCTTAATCTCCATTAGCATGTTCCACCTACACCCAAACAAAGAGAAAAATCATCCCAAATATATGCAACAAAGGAACAAGAGATTAGTAAGTGGTAACAAGATTCACCATCCGATTTACATAGAGTGCACCAGTTCAGGGAAATAAACAAAAAAGGCCTCTTCTTTTGTAGGTAATCCAGAGTGTGAACTTTCCCATAAGCCACTTCCCAAAAAAAAAAAAGCCTTAATTTTTGGAGGAATCAGTTGACACCAAACTCCCTTAGTAGGAAAGGAAAGAGAGATAGGGGATTGGCAAAGAGCATTAAAAAAAAGGCACAGGAAAAGAGACCTTTAGAACTTGGACACCAAACCCTTCTGTCCAGTTTAGGAGGTTGTAAGCAGACTTTTTTAAAAAGCTACAACAACTCTGACAAACAGATGACTTCTTCATCCCTCAATCCCCTTTGAAATCCAAAATCCCGATTATGACCGAGGCAAAATAGGAGGTGCTAAAAAATTTGAGATACTCTCATTTTTATGCAAGGAGATGAAATACAAAGAAGGAAGCAAGTCCTTTAGAGGTTGATCCCCCAACCAAATGTCTTCCAAGAAGCGAATTAAGATACCTGAACAAGCATCATACCTGATAAACCTGAAGAAATGAGGAAGGATGCTATGGATTGCTTTCCAAGGTGCTGCCAAAGTAGCCCAATGTGATACACCAGCATCCCAATCACTCTCCAATCTCCCATGAATACTGGCCACCATCTCATGCCACAAGCTATCCCTCTCTAAAGGCCATCTCCATAACCACTTCCCTAATAGAGCCATATTCTTCTTTCTCGCATTCCCAATTCCTAAACCACCCTCTTTCTTGTTTTGACACACAATCTCCCATTTAACTAGGTGGTCTTTTTTAGATTCTCCCGGCTCCCAAGTTAAATCCCTCATGATTTTTTATAATTTCTTTGCCTCCCTTGGTGGAATCATAAACACAGAGAGGAAGTAGATTGGTAGGTTAGCAAAAGTTGATTTTATTAGGGCGATCCTACCTCCCAACAAAATATATTCCAACATACAAATTTCTTGTCAACCACTAGAATTTTTTAAGTTCATTCTTGAAGCACCAAACTGCAATATATTGGTTCTGTAACCACCGTGGAATCACCTTCTATTACTAGCTGTTCCACTCCTATCTGTACAGTAAATTGTGTAGGGCAGCTAACAGTTCTGCCCTAATGGAGTCCCCTTCACCAAACGGGCCTGAATATAAAAAAGCCACAAAACAACTTTCATTCCTTATAACCCCTCCCGTCCCAGAAAGATATGGGTTGCCCTGACGGCTACAACTTTTACATTAATAATTTACGAATTTTACATTCATCATTTAGAGGCCACAGTACATACTTTCCATGCCCGATATATTTTCTTACAATTGAATAGGGTAACAATTGAATTGAGCTTTAATCAAATGGTCCAGGCTCAAGTTCAATTAGGCTCAATTTGAGTTCTATGCTAATTGAATTGCCCCCTTTTTCTTTACTTACCTTATTTTGAGATTCCTTTTCTTTAATTTTTGTCCCCTTTCAATCCCAATTTATCAGCCAAAACCTCCACTGGGTCCTTTACACTCTGATCTTCTTGGCTTCTTTTACTATCCCCCACCTCCTTTTCCTCCTTCCCCTTAACTAAGACCCTTCCAGCCTCCTCATCACTCTCACCTTCTTGGGATTGAAACCTTTTAGTGGTTTCTTTTTCCCCTTCTGTACCCATCCCTCTATCAGTCCCTGCTCCTTTCTTAACCTTCTGCCTTCCTTCACCCCTAGCCTCAGCCACACCCACCCCTTCTTCCTTTCCCATTATCTCTCTCGCACCACCTACATCTCCTAATCCCCCCACTCATCTCTCCTTCTTCTGGCATATTCATGGGCAAATTGTAGCCTTGGATGGGATCTGATGAAACTGTAGGACCAATAAAACACATATTAGCATCAAAAACTAAACCAACAGAATTGTCGAGGTTACCAAAAGGCTGAGAAGAAAGGATGACTTGCGTTTTAGTAACAGGAGTTCCAGTGCCCTTTTCCATTTGGTGCCTCACCAAACCCCCATCTTCATTTCTAACTAGTTGGGAAGGCTTCAAAAGAGTATTTGACTTAGCCATCTCAGTACTTGTACCCCCACCCAGAAAATCCTTTGTAACCTCCTGGATCCCCTGCTGACACACCAACTTATCATCTTGCTCTTGTCTCTCGCCCGGAATGAGTTCTTTACCCCCTTGGATACCTCTATTCCCTACTTGATAAAATGAAAGATCCTTCAACCAGTAACCAGTGTCAGTCGCAAATCACCATCTCTGTTCATAGTTGATTGAAAGACATCTCCATCTTGTGATCTCCTCTTGCTAACTGCGCCCTCATTTTCATCTAAAAGGGAAACAATGTTAAGGTCGTCCCCACTCTCCACGCTGACCTGAACAGTGCCTGCATAACTTCTACTGCTAGAATCATCTTCAGAACAGAAACCGTCATCTGAGTCTTCACAGTCAACCCATTCATCTACATCATTGTCCTTCCATTACGCCTTAGTCCTTTCATAGCGAGGGTTAGGCTTATTGCGCCTAGCCCACCGCATCTGCGAAGACTTCGAGCCAGTTCGACTGTCTTAGGTCGATGGGGACGATGATAGATCATGAGTACCATCCCCCATTGCCTTACTAAAGCCCTCGCACGTGCCCTTTAAGTCTTCACGTGGGAGAGAATTGAAGATTGGTTCAGTTTGCCAGTTCGACCTAGAAGCAGCATGTGGACCATTCTTTATAAGTCTGTTTTTTAAAACGTCCACAAAAGACGATTTGTTCTTCGGGCAGACTGACCGGTGAAACTCACAAATTTTTGAAGAACCCCTTTTTAATGGCAAATTGGAGCCAAACAAATTAAAGTTCAACGGTCCACCTTCTAAAACAGCACCGACACAGCACTTCTGTTCTTCCATAAATTCTTGTCCACCTAGCAGTCTTCTGGACACATCACCATCATCTCCTACCTCTTTATCTTCCTCCCACAACAACGCTTCAGCTTCCATCACTAACCAGACTCTCCGCCACCGCCCGCCGGAGAGAATCTCGACTGATCTTGGAACCCACTGCGGATTGGAGCCCTTAATTAACAGTGAGAAAGAGGCTAATGAGATGCACCCGTATATCCACCCTCTCCAAACCCCATCAACCTTTGCATTTCCTCAAAGAAACCTCATTCAACGTGGTCGTAAGCCTTTTCTATGTCTAATTTGCACACTAAATCTGGCCTTCCACTTCTTAATCTTGAATCTATACATTCACTGGCCACCAGCACTCCGTCCAAAATCTCCCTCCCCTCTACAAAAGTCATCTGAGTTTCCCCTATCACCTCCTAAATTACTTTTCTCAGCCTTCCTTCCAGCACTTTAGCCAAGCCTCAACTTCATCTATTTGCAAAGATGAAGGCCCATTTCTTCAAATGATCCTAAGAATCTTGCCCATCGCCTCCATTTAAGCAAAAGCCTCCACTCTAGGAAGAATTGGCTTGCCCCACACTCCTTCCACCAGATGTCTTTCTATCTGATTCTGAGCCATGATTTTATAGAAGAATTTAACAGTAAGCTTACCACTTTATTTCCCTTCCATCACCTAGCATCGAGAGCCTCTGGGTGAATCACCACCTTCTGCAATCTAGATAATAGCAACACACACTTCCATTTCCCTAACAAGCAGAGGCTTTCTGAAGTTGGGACACCAGCACACCTCCGCTTGAACCCATTCAAAATATTGATCAATTGTAACTTTTAGAAAGAGGTTTCATTTGTGAGAGTTTAAGTCGATGTGCTGTGCCAGCACTGTAAATCACAAAGAAAGATAAGTCTTGAAGAATGTGTATTGATAGTCGTGCAATCAATAAGATCAGTGTTAAATATAGATTCTCAATACCTCGACTTGATGATATGTTGGATCTCATGGCTAGTGCACAATGGTTTTCTAAGGTTGATCTTCAAAGTGGATATCACCAAATCCGTATTAAAATTGGCGATGAATGGAAGATCGGTTATAAAACAAAGAATGGGCTCTATGAATGGCTAGCCATGTCCTTTGGCTTGACTAATGTGCCTAGGACTTTTATGAGATTTTATGGCCCTTCATTGGAAAATTCTTGGTGGTATTTTTTTTATTTTTGGAAGATAAAATAAAGGAAATTTTATTAAAACAAAAAAAAACAGTTACAAGGAAGGTGATAAGCAATCACCTGAGGGAAAGGAAAACCCAAAAAGCCAAATAAAGAAACCCCAAGCCCCAAAAAGAAACCCAACCCAAACACAGAAACCCTTGGAAACCAGCTAAAACGAGGAAAAAAAACAAACTGCAACACTAAGGCAAAACCCAGACCCTACAAACCAATATTTACACCCGTCGGAAACCCACACCTACTACCCAAACCCACCAAGACTCCCACTCAAAAACTCTTCTTATCAGCTTTTTAAGAACAATCTTCTAATTGCCTTCTCTCTGATCTTTTGTGTTTTTTGACGAGCTTATTAGGCCCAATGCCAAATAAGCCTCCTTTTATCCATGCTGAAACTGGAATTTGCTGCTGACTTTTTCTATTCTTTTGAGCTCTGAATCTCCTAACTGTATTAAATGTTTTCACAGCTTCTTCCTCCACTCCGACTTTTGACCCTTATCTGAAACACCATCCCCTCAGATAAATCTTCCTGCTTCGTAAAAACATCCCCGCCATTTCGAATAATCACTTCCTTTTCAGAATTGTCGGAATTGCCGTCAAGCACTGGAACAGCACTACTCTTTTTTCCCCCATTTTTTCCTCTACCAATCTAAATGCTTCCTTGGCGAACTCCTCCTGTCCTAAAAAAAACAGCCGCAGAATTTTGCTGACTTCCACTTCCTTGTTTATCACTTTCTCCAAATCGCAATTCTTCTCTACCTCATGGACCTCATCCATCATCAATTCTCGGTGGTATATTTTGATGACATTTTAATCTAGAGTTGTTCTAAAGAAGAACATCTTGGTCACCTTAGAGTTTACAGTTTGAAATATAGGGTTTAGGGTTACTCATCAAAAAAAATATAGGGTCTAGGGTTTTAGGTTTTTGCATTTACGGTTTATGTGGATATAGGTATTAGGTAGGATCTACGGTTTAAGGGTTTAAGGTTTAGGATTTCAAGGTTTTCGGTTGAGGGTTTAAGCTTGAGTGTTGGGTTTAGGGTTAGGATTTGATTTCATTGGGCTTAAAGTATAGGGTTTAGGAATAATGATTTAGGGTTAGGATTTAGGGACCAAAGTTTTGGGGATTAGGGTTTAAGAGTTTGGAGTTTAAGGTTCAGACTTCATCGTAAATTGCTGCTACTTTCCACTTGGAATCAGCTTACTATATGGCAGATGCAGAGGATCAGATTGTTGCTTTAAATTCTGGTCCAATTGGAGAAGGAAATGTGGTTAATGCAGGGGTTCAAGCAGTTCTATAGGGTGTACAGATTGCCAGGGAGCTGAACTTTGGGAAATTGCTCATTAATGGCGATTCTAAACTGGTATTTGGGTGGCTGAAGGAGCCAGAGACTGTAGCTTGGTCCTTTAGGGGAGCTTTGAGAAGATTCAAATGGCTAACTTGCAACTTAATAGTGAGAGTTCAATGGGAGATGAGGTCAGCTAATGGATTGGAAGATCTTCTAGCTAAGCAAGGAGTTCATAGGGATCATTTATTTCAGGCTCAATTGTAATCTTGTTCTGCTGTTGAGGCTGCAGCCCGTGCCTCTTATTGAATTTTCTGGATGTATTTTCTGAAAGCTTTTATTACATCTCTAATAAAATGATCTTATAATTTATCAAAAAAAATACAAGGGCTAATAGGACTCAACTATAGTGGGAGTCATTCTTAAGAACACTTGAACATGAAAACAATCCTTTTGAACTACTAAAAATGTTGCACCCACCAAACTCTATTTGCCAGTAATTCATGCTTAACATATTAGTAATAATATGCATTGTGTGTGTATGTGTCTGTCAAAGAGAGAGAGAGAGAGAGAGAGAGAGAGAGGGAGGCATGATGCTACGTAATTCTTTCTATAAACAAACAGCCATGATTACCAAATGAGAAACTAAATCATAGCCAATATTTGCATCGTCAATAAAGCTTACCAGATCAGGCAAATGAGAGCCTATTGAAACAAGTAGACTAGAAGCAGCCCTTTGCCAATCAGAATTAAGTTCCTGAATGTTAGGTGGATTAAGATGAGCAAAATATAATGCATACTAAGCCAAGCCATTAACAAATAGTGTGACAACAAAATAAGCAAGACATAATTCTCCCTAACATAGAATAAGTTAGCACTAATCTTCTTAAATGTAGATAACCTTCAATACCAATTCAGAAGTGCAAGAGTTCAATGATAAGGATGAAGACCTCTCAGGCAGAGATTTTGGGAGTGCTGAGCGCTAGAGGGCACAAGAATATTAAAAGAGAAATGTCTGTTACAATTTGCCCATGAGATAATTGGCTTTGAATCCCCTTCCACCTCCACCTGTCTATAACACAATTGTTTTGCTAACTGAAGACCTTGCAACATGGCCACCAGTTCAGCCTTTAAGGAGTTCCCCATTACGATTGGCCCTGAAAATAAACCCAGTATATACCTTTGAAAGCTTTTTATTACACCTCTTATTCCTGCCATACCCAGATTTCCAAAGGAACTTCCATCAAAGTTCAGTTTTACTTTGTTACCTTATCAGAGCATATTAAAAGTTGATCAAACATAAGTTAAATAGATTTTTTCCAAATCTAACCCTTTCTCCTTGTTCTTTTATATTCTTGGACACACTTATTGGCTATTAGAATTTGATCAGTAATAATGCTATAAAAGTAGCATTCACCTCATTGTTGATGATTCCTCTCTAATGGAATTTGTCAAATACCTCCATTAAATCTCTTATTTGGAACTCCCAACCTTCTCAAAATAATCCCATAGCGAAGTCGTCTGGCCCTGGAGATTAGACTTATCCATGTTAAAGATGGTCATTTTCACCTCAAATTCCTAAAAAGGCTTTTCCAAAGCAATGGACATTTCCACATCCAATGTGGACCAATCAAAGCCTCCCACACGTGCCCTTTGGGATGGAGAAGTTCCTAATAGATATTTGAGATGATCTATGAAAATCCTCCCAATTTCCTCCCTGTTATCAACCTATACGCCATTGATTACCTTTTTTTTTTGGATCAGAAACATAGAATTGATTTCGTTAATAAAAAACAGGCATGAATACAACAAGAGGTTGTAAAAAAAGAAAAAACACAGCTAGAGAAAGCTGACTCAACCCAGATATTACAATTGAGCCCAATACAAATGAGTTCTTTGTACCCCTTACTAAACTAGACCACCTGCCAAGATGTTGGCAGTTCTTCTCACCCACTTAACTCTGATTGTCATGTCCTTTGATAACCATTTAAATCGCCTGAAATCATTCCTCGGGTGCCATGTCACCCCCTCCCCTTTCTTCAGCCATTTCACAACAGTTCTCGAATTACCCTCAATGACTAGACTATCAATGCCCAACTCCTTTGCTTTCTCGACCCTGTATACTGCAGCAAACAGTTCTCTTGCCACATTGTCCTCTTCGGCAGGCCCGAATTATAAGCCAATAATGTTTCCTTCTTCATCCCTAATTCCCCCCCCCCCCCAATGCCTGAGGGGGGTTACCCAAACAACTCCCATCAAAATTCAGTTTCTTCCAGCCACATAATGGGGGTGACCACATCTCAGCAGGCTTCTGTCTTCTAGAAGATGAAGCAGCAATAACAGCCCAGGCCCTAAAGAAGTCTTCAACCTTAAAGTCTGAAAACAGTTCCAAACTTTTTGCCCATTGTGCCATTCTTAAGGTTATTATTTCTACCAAAGTTTCCTTGCTCCTTTCTCTTTCTTCAAATATTCTTGAATTTCTTTCCTTGACTGGGAATGGGAGAGCACCAAACTTCCTTAACTGGGAAAGAAGGAAAGGATGAAGTGGATACCGAAGAATTAAAAAAAAGATTTACAAGAGAACAGACCATCAGAATTAAGGCCCCAAACCCTGGAATCCAAAACCCCTTCACCCAAACACACTGAATTCAGCAAGCCTAGCAACTCAGACACACTAGGAATTTTAGCTTCTCTAAGGTTCCTATCAAGGCCAATGTCCAATACTCCAATTCAACCCAAAAGGATGAAATCGTTGTGTCAAGAAATCAGATATAGGTCTACCCTTAAAACTGGAAAGGTCAAAAAGAGCAGGAAATCTCTCACCCAAAGGGACATCCCCAATCCACGCATCCTCCCAAAACCTAATTTTCTGACCCAAAGCCAAGTCAAACCTGACATGATTTAGAAAGGTAGGAAGAATCTCATGGATGGCATTCTAGGGAGCAGCCAAGGTAGCTCTACGGAGACTAGGGGTGTCCATAAAAAACCGAAAAACCGAACCAAACTGAGAAAACCGAACCGCAAAATGCGGTTAACTAAACCGATCGGTTCGGTTTCGGTTCGGGATTTTTGAAAAACCGAAGGACTGGTTCGGTTTTCGGTTAACCTACAAAAAAACCGACGGTTAACCGAACCGACCAGTACATATATTTTTATGTATATTTTATATATATTTTTAATATATGTCACATATTTTCTATGTATTATATATAAATATATATAAATATATACTTATATTATATTTATAATGATCTATTTGTAAATATATTATATATGTTATATATTTTTCAAATATTTATAATATATTATATATCATTTATTTATTTATTATACATATATTTGTATAATATATATTATAAATATAAAAAACCGAAAAACTGAAGAATCGAACCGGTCAAAAACCGAAACCGACGGACCGGTTAACCGGTGGTACCGGTTCGGTTTCAGTGTGGAGAACTGGAAAAACCGATACCACCGATTCGGTTTACAAAAAAGTGCCATGGTTCAGTTAACCGAACCGTGGACACCCCTAACGGAGATGGCCAGCATCTCATCAATTGCTTGATATGTCGTGAATGCTTGCAATGACTTTGTGCCATAGCTTCTCATCCTCATTAGGGAATCTCCAAAGCCATTTGCTAAGCAGAGCCACATTCTTCAGTTTGATATTACCAATTCCTAACTCCCCTTTTACTTTCAACTTCACCACCTTGTCCCATCTAATCAAGTGATCCTTCTTTTTTTTTCAATTTTCCTCACTATCTCTTGAGGCATCCTAAACACCGACATGTAGTACACTGGAAGGTTTGCGAGGATAGACTTAATAAGAGTTAATCTCCCCCCCCCCATCAAAATATAGTTCCTTTTCCACCAAGCCAACCGCTTCTCAACCCTCTCCAACACAAGGGTCCAAAAGTTGGCCAATCTAGGGTTGTCACCTAGAGGTAAGCCTAAATATCTCAAAGGCCACTCTCCCCTCTCACAACCTAAAGAGTCGGTCATGTCCCTTAAAACATCTTCTTCTACATTGATTCCAACAATTAAAATCTTTGACCAATTAATCCTCAAGTTAGACAACCTCTCAGAGTTTCACCACCAATTTCAAATTTCCCACCCCTTCATTACAATCATCTTCACAAAAGATCGGAATATCATCTGCAAACTGCAAGTGAGTAATCAAAAATTCAAAATATTGCCTCTCTCAATTGACCAACCACTGAATAACTACAGGAAGTTTGCTCTTGAGAACAACTTACTCAGCCTTTCAGCTACCAAAGTGTGTTGAAAATTAATTAGTTTTATGATGTTTTTCTGAGTAGATGTTTTATGTTAGTTGTTAGATAGGAGGTGGGGACCACAATAGTTATGTGAGTCCAACTTTTATTATGTTTTTTGAGTGTTATATATGTTGTTTTATGTTTTGTCGCCCTATAAGGGCATAGTTTTTTTTCAACTTCTCTTCTTCTCTTCTTCTCCTTCTCTCTTCCTCCTCTCTTCAAGAAACTACTTTCATTCATATTTTTTAATTCAGAAGATTTCTACTTGATATCAGAGCATCGGCTAGGGTTTCTTGAAGCATTCTCATGCAGCCCTAGATCAGCCGACTGCATGAATAGTAAAGGGCGGATCGATCTGCTATAGATTTCCCAGTTCTTGGAGTTTTTGGTGGGATCTAGACATCATGAAGGTGATCTACTGTTCGGCATCAAAATCAGGAAGAATTGGAGTACGGGGAAGAGTCCCAAAAAAGTTGGACTCTTTGTTTTTTATCTGATCTTGGGCGCCCAGGTATTGTTAGTTTTCTTTTGATTTCCTGAAGAGGGCGGTTTGGTTTCTGATATTTTCTAGGCCTCCCGGAGTGATCAATTCACTTTTCTCTCTGTTGGGAGGCGTGGGGAGGAGAGAGATTTCCCTCCAACTAGGGTTTTCTTCTTCCGGAATGGTTGGTTTCTGTGTGTGTAGTATTAAATTATTTTTTGAAGGTCTCCAATCTATTTTTTCTTACTGTTGAACTATTTGAAGTAAAATGGAGAGTTGGAATACCAAGATGAAATCTACTGGTACTGTGGGACTGAGTGTTGGAGGTAGTAGTGATATTTTTGGGTCTGGGATCATTACTACAGTAAAACTTGATGGTACAAATTATTTGGAGTGGGCACAATCAACTAAGATGGCAATTGGTGCTCGTGGAAAATTAGGGTATCTCACTAGGGAGGAGAAGAAACCTGGTACAGACTCTTCCCGATTGGTGCAAGAGAATTACATGGTAATGACTTGGCTGTGTAATTCTATGTTACCTCATATTACAAAAAAAATTCCTATGGGCTAATACTGCTAAGGAGATTTGGGATGGAGTGACTGAAACCTACTCTCAAAAGCAAAATGAAGCCAGAGCCTACCAGTTAAGAAATCAGGTGATAAGTATGAAACAGGGAGAAAAACCTCTTGTTGTGTATTTCTCCACGCTGAAAACCCTATGGCAGGAAATAGATCACTTAGAAACTGTTGTATGGGAAAGTGTAAATGATGCAGCAACTTATCACAAACTGGTAGAGAGGAATAGGGTTTTTGAGTTCTTGGCAGGGCTGAACCCTGAATTTGAAATTGCTAGGCAACATATTCTTTCTAGGGAGGGTGCGACACTCTCTCAGGCCTATGCTTTTGTCTTTGGAGAGGAGAGTAGGAGGAATGTAATACTGAGATAGCCTGGGATTGACCAGTCGGCTATGGTTGGTACAACAAAACCTAAGCCGAATG